TAAATTGACATATGCGAGGGACTGAAAGTGCCGTCGCGATCGCCGCTTTTAACGCGAGTTATTCGCGAAAAACCTCCGGGGATTGCAACCATATCCCCGGAGGTTTTTCGCGAATATAGTCCCCCCCCCCACCTGTGCCGGCGAGGGTTAAGCAGTCGAAAAAAGCACTTTTGGACAATTGACATGTGATGGAGACATGGAAGAGCAGTAAAACAGCTCCAATGCGTCCAGTTTTACAATAGGCAATCGATTGGGATGCAACATGAGTTTTACCGGTCAGGTCATGAGCTCGACCTTAAAACATGTTCATCTTGGGAGGTCAAATTACACACCATTCTACACTATTGGACGAGAGAGACATGATGCTAGCCGAGCTGATTGTTTTTAATGCCTATGTAGTATGTACCCACAACAATGACAACAATGCACCGCTGGGCTACGCTTCGCTTGCGTTCCAGGACCGTAGTGACGTCACAGGAAGGGACGCGGGCGGACCGCTGATGACCCGCCCGCTGTCAAAGGGCGGGCTGGGTTTGACGGGCGCACAATAGCGGCCGCGCGCGTCAGTTTCTGGAAGCGGTAGCGAGGGCACGGACATTCACACGTGGGCCGGAAGGGTTGGACGCTTTAACCCTCTCGCAGCCCTCCCGCTGTTTCTGCTACTGAGAAGGGAAATAAGTGACGGTAATCACACAGCCTTTAAACCTTTCTGACGTTTCGTACGTGTTGTCAACAATGCCAGTCCGCTAGATGATTGCGCGAACACTAAGGTAGCCTGACTGTTAGCTTGAAACGCCGGGCTGCCAGGTAAACATAACGGTACGGTCCCATGACATTCTTCCCTCCACGTGTACGGTCTGGAGCCTTTACGCGTTAGATCGATGCGTGTTTTTATCGATACAGGACCTCCATCGATCTTGGAATTTGCGATCTGAATGGTGGGTTGGAGAAAGCTTAGTGGTTTCGAGCCCTGACTGCCGTTTCGGAGTCGGAGCCAGAGTCACTAAAAATTTTATATTAGCCGTTTTCACGACGGGCATCTGGTGAATACACTTAATTTGACCAAATCTGTACCAAATCTCTTTTACAACAAACATATTTAAATTATGAATTCATTTAAGTGTTTTAGTCGATGATAATGTCTGATAGTATGACAAAGAAGGCATATAAGTAATTAGTCACTAGCTATAGCTACGAAGAAACACACTGAACCTATAATTTGACCAAATCTGTACCATATCTGACCAAATGTGTACCAAATGGGGGGGGCCGGGGCGCGGGTTAAACGTAAATATAGGATTAGATGCCAGCTAAAACCATATATATGCTCATTTTTTGCATAAGGTGAATAGCATCCGAGAAAAACGCACGTGAAATTTCGCTAAATCGATTTAAGGCTGAAACAGACTCTTTCCGCATTCAGGAAATAGTGTGCGAGAGCCTATTGAAATGCATTAAAATTCTGCCCGCATCAATCGCATGCGGAGAAGCGTGCGATTGATGCGAGCGTGCTCCCAATAGGCTCTCGCATGCGATTTCCTGACTGCGGAAAGAGTCTGTTTAGTGTTTCAGGTTTAGACTTGTCATGGAAACGTAGTGAATTTCTCGAGACCATGCTGGGCGGGAATCGCGATTCGACGTACATATATCGGTTAGCATTATCTGCGTGTTTCCACTCTGTTTGAAGTTGTAAAGGCTCAGACATGTGAAATGTTGGTTCCATGCATTATAGTGGGCATCAAGGTCAAGTGAAGGTCAGATCAAAGTCATTGACCTTTGATGACCTTGGTTCACTTTTGCGAGTGTTACATGTTTTTAGGGAAGTTTTTGAAGCTAATATCGAATTCATCACCCATCTGAACATTTACTAAGAACTTATGGTGCCTTTGTAACATGTTACGAAGCTGTCAGTGGTGGTTGACACCTACTATCAATACCCGACAGGACTCGTCCACTGGTTGGTAGCCTGACCTGACCCGACCTGACCCTACCTGATCTAATTGCATGGGGGCATCATATATGATCCAAAATTAACATGACATCGTGGTCAGCACCCCGGAAAAACCTATCACAACCTCACTTTACGAAGTTCTAACAAGGTATGATATTCCCGACCTTTGGGTCATTGACCTGACCTGGAAGGTCAGCCAATAGCCTGGGACCTTAAAACTAGGTGTCATCGGCTTCCTCTCGTCACGGGTAGCTTGCCCGTTTCATCCGCGAAGCTCTAGCTCGATCAAGGGACAAACGGCAAGGGTCCAACGGACCATATACGTTCGCGGCTGGTAAAACACCAATACGGGCCAGGATTAAGCATGACTTGTTGCGCATGGCGTAAAAAAACCACGGCACGATTGTTACTCAGCTGGTGCACCAGTTTCTTAAACTGATGATCCCACTGGATCCCACTGAACCTCTTTGACGAGGAGCTGGACATCAGTGGGATTCTGAATAAGTGGATACAGTTAGTGGGTATTTTAGTTATACTGTTAACGACTTAGCATTTTTTTATGAAACAAGTGAGAAAAGGTAGTTACGTCAAAAGAAAATTTTCCTAGAAACTGTACCAAGGTTTAAAAAATGTTGACTGTTCTAAGCGATAGATCTGAAAGAAACTGTCTTCTAAACTGGCTTCTAAAAACCGTCAACGTGCCTTTCTCCGAATTTTATTTTCTTAGTGCAACAATTAAGGTTTACATGCCCTTGGCGTAGCATTGTAAAAACAATTAAGCAAGCAATATGCATACTCGTAGGTTCGAAATACAAAATGTACCAAATTATTACCAGATTGATCCTTTGACATCTGAAAAGATTGCTACCGATTGACATCTCCAATATTTGGTCTGCAACTCTTTCAGTTAGTAGCATTTGTCGAAACGTCGACTGACGTTTGGTTGTGGGGACGTTCATCACTGATTGGAACGAACAGTGATCGGTGACTCTTGTACCCACTTCATCGCCATGTTTTATTGACTCAGTGCCAGGAATAGCCTCTTTGACTCCTGGCATAGATAGAGGATGGCCACTATGATAAAATTAAGCACGTTGGAATAATCATGGAACGGAAACACCTATTGCAACCTCTTTCGTGTATTGGCCTCCTAACATTCCTAGGACTGCACAGGACGTTTAACATTGTCACACATGAGGTCGGGTAGGTAAAGACACATAATATGCATGTACGGAGTAAACTCGCTATCCTGACACACAGACAAAAAATGGACCCGCCAATCGTCACACAAACGCTGCAGCGTTGCTCTGTCGGCCTCGCCTGTGCGACACATTTCACGAACAGAGCGGATAAGTTGCATGAACTGCCTCCTAACATTCCTAGGACAGCATATGACGTTTAACACTCTGCAGCATCAAACTATGTGGTGAATATTTGTATCTTTCAGCATCTTTCCGTAGCTGCATGTTCGCTTTTTCCACCAGCTGCTGATTGAAATGATGAAAAAATGCATCAGTGTCACACACGAGGTCGGGTAGGTGAAAACACATAATATGCATATACGGAGTAAAATCGCTATCCTGACACACAGATAAAAAATGGACCCGCCAATCGTCACACAAACGCTGCAGCGTTGCTCTGTCGGCCTCGCCTGTGCGACACATTTCACGAACAGAGCGGATAAGTCGCATGAACTGCCTCCCACATTCCTCAACTGGCAGTCCCATGTTAAGCTGGTCCAAGAGCAGTTCGCGGTCCTTCAGGTTTAGTCTCGTGGAAACAAGCATATTTTCTGTAATTTTGACCTTGCGCTTCAGAATGACTTCCATCTTGGTCTCAAGATCTGCCAAACGCCCTTCTTTGGCAAGCTGAACCTTAATTTTCAAAAACAAGCGATCGAAAACTCTCAGAATCAAGTGCATCTCGTCAGCAATAACGCGACGGATAGGGATCTGCGTCAGCAAGGGAGGTCCCTTCATGCCTTGGCGGTAGGATGCCTTTTTCCTGGCCATTTTGCTCTGACTGCCCAGAGCAGCCATGGTGTCAATCGAGCGCTCCTCTCCTCTTTCCAGATGTTTTTTGGTTCGATGAACGGTACAGTATGGACAGGGAAAGTCGCTCAAACCGCCTGCCAGGCCCAACACCATCCATATAAATTTCAGGTCGGCGCCGAGATAAAACTGAACGGGTACACCGTTGATGTCCTTAATAGCCTGCATCTCAGCATCAATCTGCCTCAGGGCAGCCACCAGGTCTGGGGTCTCGGCGTCCTCAGCTCCCTTGACGCAGGCTAAAACAGTGGCTGAGCGTTTGGCTGGAAGGGGACGGATAAGCTCAACAGTCAGGTTAACAAAGCCAACTTTCCGGCATTGAGTGCCATCTCCACTTATCTTGAACCAAAGTTTTCCGGGAGCGTTCTCTCCGGCTCCACGGGTTCCACCCAGTATTCGCTTGCATGCTGTGAGCAAAGGTATCTGGGAGGAGTTTGCACTTCGATCGTGAAGATGCCCTTGACGTTCGGCGTCAGCCCGTAATTCTTTGTCTCGTTTGATCAATTTTGTGCGCCCGGGCATACCATGACAACGTAAATTGCCGTACTGATGAAATGATACGCCAGATTTGACGACATGACGTAAAACTTTTGTTGGGGATTCAGAATTGCTTGGCTTGGTCAAGCTAGCCTTTTTTAGACGCTTTCTCTCTCCTCTTTTGCCAACAGACTCTGACCTGACTTTAGTGGCGTTCAGTCGGTTCTGAAGCACGCGCTTCTCAGTTTTCAATTTTGCAACACGTTTCTGCAAATGGCGGTTTTCGATCAGCACGTTGTTCCAAAAGTGTACTACGTTACTCACACTCCACGAGAAATCAGGGGTATTTTCCACCATTTGAGAACGTTTCCAGCCACCGCACTTTTTCCACGACCACAAACGTTTTCGCCGATAAGCAGAAAGTGATTCGATCTCCGTCTTTGTCGGCTTCAGCTTTACATTATGCTGTTTTCCTATCATGCTAACTAGTTCATCACAGTTTTTTGAGACTACATCATGAAATGATATATTGAAATGCATGGTGGCTTCTAATATACCTAACAATGGCCAGTTACAATGTCACGGGTATGTACATATATGCAAATCACACGACATGCTCAAACACTTAATTCAACGCAAAACATCCAGAAAATGCGCCAAGATAACAATTTTTGACCAACCATTTACCTAAAATCGCCTCACACAACTCCAACGAAAACTCCCCGTTCAACCTGTCTCAGATGCTCCACGAACACATTTCTCTCTGGTGAACCTGACTCGCAGTTTCATTAGCTGTCCCCACACACGGGGTTTCACCTGGAATGTGCCATGGGCAACACGATTGTAATCTTTCTGGTTTATGTGCTGCTCGAACCAGCCTGTACCAAGATAGGGAACGAGACGTTCCTCGTCAGATTTGTGCCAGCCGTACTTTTCCTTTTTCATGCGCCGCATGAGGCCATCGATGCAGGAAGCATGGAAGAAGACCACCTCGAACTGAACTTTGAATTGCTCCTCTTTGAAACTTCTTAACTTCTCTCGAATAATCTGCTGAAGTTGCCGGCGATGGAAGTCGCGGCAGTGGTGATTGCAGACATCGGTGCCCGCAGCTATTGCCTGAGGCACGAACCCTGGCGAAATGAAACAATGACGGTCATTAGATGATAGTTATTATAAGTCAAAATATCAACCGTGTAAATCCGTAAATGCAGCTTGACGTTGGTGGATCAATAGCTTTTGACCAAGGTATTTATAGCCCACTGACGGACATAAATCGTTAACACGCAATAAGCCAATATTCAGATGTAATACAATTCGCTGTTATACATGCAATTGCATATTTATTTTCATGCCTTGATGCACGCTGAAATACATGATTTACACTACATGATTTTCAGTAGCATTACTGTAAAATTACATATATAAAAATCAAAATGTCTGTACGTATGTATGTAACGCGTCAGTCACGCTTGGCGGGCTGTTGCGAGGTGACGGTGCGGGCTACGGGGTTGAAATTTTGGGCGCAAGTCGGACGCGTGCATCTGTTTGTCGTATTAAATTTTGGTGGGGGTGCGCTCGCCAGTTTGCACGTGGTTGGCGCATCTTTGCGGGATTTTGGCCGCGGCCGGCGCCGAGCAGACGGCACGCGCCTTAGGCTCAGTTTCTTCGCTTGCAAAACTGGGTGAAATCAGAGCCTGACCTTTGGCAATGAATACCGGAACAGAGCACCGCCGGCCAGGAGGAGACGCCAAATTTATTCTGGCCATAACTCGGCCGCTACTGGGCCGATTTTAATGAAAATTAATTCATTACGCGCAGCTGTCCCTCTTTACGCTGCGCGTAATGCTGTCCCTCTAGTTATTCGTTGATTAGTTTCTTGATGGAACCAAGCGTGCATTCATAGAGTTCAGAAACATGTTCATTAGCATTTTCTTCTTGCGATTCAAGGGCAATGTCATGTATGAAGCAAGAGTACATGGGTATTTGGCAAATGTGTTAACGAATTCCGCACACAGTCGTGTATTTTACCCATCGATGCGAGAACCACCATGTGTTTGAAAATGCTATTGAAAATGTTGGTATTTTGAATTGTCCAGCGCATAGGTTGTGAACATGCAATTCATGTGTCCAAAAATTAAATTTTAGGCTTATTGTAGTTGAACAAACAATAGGATAAATCGTTATTCAAAAGAGTTAGCGAGAAGTCACACTTTTGCAACAAACAGTAAAGACATAAGGTGCACGACATACTAACAGCCCTCGTCCTACTGCGTGGTGGGTGTTTTTATTCGACAAAACTGAGTATAACTCGAGGGCTGTGTTATCAGCCAATCGAAAATATGTAATATCAGAGACGAGCGATGTTCCACTCTTTCGATTGGGTCCGTCACTAAACAAATGGCACGCCAAGTGTGGCAACAATAAGCAAGTTTGTTTTGGAAGCAAATATAAACTTAAGTGTATTGTTGTCAATCTGGTGGAAAATGTATGCAATGATGGGTCCAGTCCATGGTGTGGAGCTGTAGGCGCCTTGGTATTATGATTTCCGAGTGACTGGTAGGTCATAGCCTTTGAGATAATTTTGGTTTTATCCAAGGCATTCAATATGTTTTGTCGAAAAAAAAACTCCGAACATGCGCATGAGACGAGGGATGTACATATTACTGTCAAATAATAATTAATTATCTACACGAATTATGCCTCCTTCGATGATTAAAATTCATGTCAATAACAAAATTCGCCAATTACTTCAAATAGTTAGCAGATGCACTTTCCACTGGTACTTACGTTGACTGGATGCTCCGTAGAACTTGCGCACTTCCATGGACGGTTGAAAGATATGGGATGAGCCGTTTGCTGTCCTTAGCTCATATCCATTCGTTTACCACTAGAAACACGTGAATTTACGACTTCATTTACCACTCAGCGTCCACCTTGAAATGGAAAGGTAGTAACAGTTCCCGTGTCATCGGCCCAGAGGCTACCCCGGAGGAGATGACGTCACAGAGGTACCCGCCATGATTGGCTCCTGTTGACGGTGGGCGGTCCGGTCCCCCCATTCCCAGAAACGACAAGCGAACCAAGATGTTATTATGAAACTGATCCCCGCAAAATGACATAGCTGAACTGATAGTGCACGATCGGGCGGTGGGAGCCAACTATGCAATTCCTAAATGCCTTTGTATGCGGGGGCTCAGCTACGTTTTCGGAATGGGGGTCCGCCAAAAAATGCACATCCTAATAGGACATAAAGCCGTGATATGTAATTAATGCATACTTAACGGTGAGTTCCAGGGCCTCCTCTAACATGTTAACTGGGGGGGGGGGGGGCGCGGCCCCCCCAGTGATGCCGCTGCCCCCCCCCCCCCCAGTGGAGCTGAAATCGCGTCACTGGGGGGCCACGCAGTTTAGCAAATCACATAGAAAAACGAGAAAATTTCACTATAAGCTTACCAAACAAGCAATCCAGACTATCTCCACGATCACCACGTTACTAATTTTAGTTTCCTTATATCGTTGGTTTCTTATCTACAGGATTTTTTACAGCTTCGCTCTTGGATCCGCCTAGGATGAGCCACGGAATGAGGTCAGACATTGCAGATTTTATAATCGAACGCCGACTGAAGCCCGAACGGGACATCACTTTGAGAAGGAAACTGCCCGAAGTCCGAACGGTCGCCCTCTATAGTCTCAATCAGTCAAGCACATTACGGTTCAATACGGAGAAGTATTATGTTTCTTTTTCGGGAGACGGGTTTATTCCTGAAGAGAAAATTTTTTATACGGTCAAATAGATTTTTTATACGGTCAAATAAGATTGCGGCTGAGCTTTATAGCAAGATATAAAGTTTTTTTCCCCAGTGTTTGGGACTAGCAGCGATAAGCCCTCTCACTTAATGAGGGGTATGATAGACCCCACCCCTAGGTTTTTTTTGCTAATAACTCGCATAAAAAGTGGCCCAGCGTGGCAAAAGTTTTAGTAGGTATTCTCGTGATCACTTCAATTCTACACATTTCCTGAAAATGTAATTACCCTGTTCCCTAACCCTCATTCTCATTGACCTGCGGCCTGTTTCTTGAGTCATTTTCAAATCTGATAACATTACCCAGAACGGTCTGTGAAAGGGCTATCGAATGCGCTTTTCTGCGGCGCTGTAGCTCTATTGGTTCCCGAGTTAGCCGTTGGCAGTTTCCAAAATTGTTAAAATGGACTACATTTGACCTTTGTTGACCTGGGCTCTGGGCCTCTGGCGACCTGACCTTTGACCTGATTAAAAAAATGACTGAAGTGCTTTCGTCCTTATTTTTGACGCTCTTTCGAATGCCGCTTACCGCGTGTCGCTACGTGGCCCAGGAGCTGAGTTAGACGGGGGGGGGGGGTGTTCAGACACCCCCTCCCCCGGCCCGGCGCGGAAGTCGCGGAGCACCGGCCCGGCGCGGGTGAACGATGGCGGATCACTTCAAGCGCACAAATGAATAAGTCACAAGATGAGGGGTAGGATTGAACAGAACGTCAAACAGTAAAATCAAGAGTAAGCTGATATTTTTGGCTGACTAGTGTTAAAGGTATTGATGGTTCACGTGCGCTTTTCACTAAATGCCGGAACACAGCGCTTACGCGTGCAAAACGTGTCTCCGCACTTCCCATTGGAATGCATGACATATTTTCTGCTTCCAACACGCAGCGCATTAAGCCGCGTGTTGAGATTTAATTTGGTTCATTATATTTCTTAACAGTTATCAGTTTGGGTTGCACAGTTGCTAATATGCCTGTTTTTTTTTTCTTCAAATGATCAGACGTTTTAATGCTGAATAAACTATTTGAAGAGATTTCTTCGGTGCAGAGTTGGTCAAGTTTGATGAGTTCGCCAGGTAACCCATCGTGAAAACGGCTACTACACGCATTTCCCATTTTTGAAAACGGCCAAAACCAGAATAACGTTGCTTGTAAGTTGTATGCATGTATTGAAAAACCGCACAAAACGCTCCCTTAACCCTCGACGGACCTATTGGTTTTCTACATACGCCCGGACGGAAGAGAAAAGAGGTCTTACGAGCCCCTCGCCCTTTCGCGCCTAATGAAGCTAAGGCCTCGCTGAAAAAATGAGCATGTGCGCCATTACGAGAGGCAGCGATTGGTACCCGATTGAAGGGCTCTGGTCAACTGGTAACCTCTGAGGTCAGGTTAAGTGGCAGCAGGAACGGGCTCAATTTTTGGTAACTAACCTCGGCCAAAAATGGTCGCAGAGCCGCGAGTTTGGCATCGTCGTGTTTTTTCCAGCTCGGCGCGTCGAATAATATACTTTTATTCCGCTAAGTTTTTTTTTTACTTTTGTTCTTTTGTTCTTGATGTGTTAACCTCTGGTCAAGGTCACTTCAGAGTTCAGAGCCGCTTAGGTCACGAAGTTGGTCGAAAGTGGTCATTTAGCATATTATCCGGTTCATCAGGTCTTGTTGAGTCCAATGGTGGCTCTCCCGACCCGCTAGCCTAATTTGTTCGGGAGTTATTTGATAAAAAAAAACTCTTATGCCCCTAGTTACGTCATAAGTAACGTCATGCAAGGTCAGCAATGAAAATGAAGCATCGGACCTTGCAATGAGTGGATGAAATCACGATTTCGTGTGCTCGAGCTAGTTTTAGATCATGCCCGGCGCCAAAGTAACAGTTTCCATATTTCCCCGTAGCGGTGAGATCACGTGACCGATCTGACCTCATGTGACCGAAGGTGTCATAGCCAGGTCAGTGAATTTACCTGTCCTGAAAATGCGGCTGGTGTCACAAGACCTGGCTTGAATCCAAGGTCAGGTATGCCAAGTTTCAGCTCTCTATATCCGAAGTGTTTTGAGCTATCGAGAAAAAAAAAGCATGGGAGCTAGCTCGACTGGCGGGGTTTGAGGAAAAACGGCGTGTCACCGCCTAACTATATACTTTACCATGCGCTGTTTAGTATTTTGTTACCTTATCTTTTGACTGAACAAAATAATAAATAAAGCACTGGGATGTTGCATTGCGGCATTTCGGCAGTTGCAAGACCCCTGCAAACATTATGTCTTGCTATACCTACGGGTAGGTATATAAGACTCACTTTGGTTGTCACCTAGTTATGAGCTTCGTTTGCATCGAACAAATGCATTTATTGTCCCATTATCTGCGGCACCATATTATTAACGGAGGCAGGCACGTTTAGTATTTTGATTAGATAAAAAAAAATCAGGGTAGGTGTAAAATTAATTAACTCGAGGGTACTGAAAGTTTCGTCGCGATCGGCCGCTTTTTACGCGAGTCATTCGCGAAAAACCGAGGGGAGGGGGGTACCCCCCTACGCGGGCGAGGGTTAATACAGGTTTCGAGCTCCTTCGCGCCGCCAACCATTCTAGACTTCTGACTGCTTCAGGATCGGCGATTCACGAAGCATAAAGAGGCTATACTTCCGCGCACAGAGGCCTCTTGCACCAAAATACCTAGCTAGGTAGAATCGGCAAAATACCTACCTAGTAAAACTACCTACGGCGGTAACTTCTCTTGCACCATCCTACCTACCTACCTAGGTAAAGTTGACAGCTCGCGTTTTTAGGATTTGTTTTGATTGGCTGTTCGGCGACGAATTATTTGTGGGCGCAAACAAATAGTAACTAAAGAAAACAATTAAATGGATATTGTTTTTATTAATATACATTTTGGTATTATGAAATCATTTTTCATTTACGTAAATACCGATAGAAGTTATTTTGATATTAAATTACTTGAGCAAATAAGCTTCGTTTCCATGACAACGAGTGAGTCTTCAACCTGGCTGTTCTGCTACGGAGGTTTATCGCCTTGGTACGGAGAAGCACCTCTGTGAACCCATGGAGCATTTGGTCAATTATATTATTATTCACTCATAAAACATTGATTTATCATTGTCTAAACATTTTGTAATGCCTAATTTACATAAAAGTACCCGTGGATTATCGTGTATTGTGCCTATTGTTTCTAATTGAATCATTTTACCTAAGGTTTTGCTAGTTATTTTGGAAGCCCGCGTTTACCGTCAAACCGTCAAAAATTTATCCGCGAGTACTTCTTTCCGGCTTTCGGTGCAAGAGGAAAACAGCCGGTCGGAGTTTAACAACTGGTAAGTTCCGATGCCGCTCGGTAGAATTTCTAGGTAGATTTTCACGGTAGCGTTTTTTGGTGGATAGTTTGGTGCAAGAGAATTTAGGTAAAATCGGAATTTACCTAGGTAAGTAATTTGGTGCAAGAGGCCTCTGGTCTGCAATGAGCAGTGATCACCGACTTCAGCAGAGCCCATTTCCCTGGTGAAATTAGCGGTGAGCCCCAGTGAGATGCAGGGTTTATTCTTGTTCCACGATTATTTGCCTATATCAAAATCAAAATGTCTGTACGTATGTATGTATGCATGTACAATTGTACATATGTATGTATGTATGTAACGCGTCAGTTCCCTTTGGCGGGCTGTTGCGAGGTGACGGTGAGGACTGCGGGGTTGAAACTTTGGCGCCGAGTCGGACGCGTGCAACCATTTGTCGTATTAAATTTTCGAGGGGGTGCGCGCGGCGGTTTACACGTGGCGGGCGCATCTTTGTCGCATTTTGGGCCGCGGCCGGAGCCGATCAGATGGCACGCGCTACAGGCTCAGTTTCTTCGCTTGCAAAGCTGAGCGAACTCAGAGCCGGCAGGTCATTGACCTTTTGCAATGAACACCGGAACAGAGCACCGCCGGCCAGGAGGAGACGCCAAATCTATTCTGGCCATAACTCGCCCGATACTGGGCCGATTTGAATGAAAATTGATTTATTACGCTGCGCGTAATCCTGGATACCTAGTTTGCCTATATAAAAATCAAAACGTCTGTAGTTGTACGTATGTATGTATGTATGTATGTATGTATGCATGTATGTAACGCGTCAGTTCCCTTTGGT